GAAAGAGCCAGAGAGCACACCAAAGAGAGAGTACTGTATTTAAGACCAACAACATTTTATTCCAGATATAAGCTTTTGTGTGGCAGCACACTTCAAAGAGCGGGTGGGAAAGAGCCAGAGAGAGCAAGTCCCAGGGCACTTGAAGAGATCCCCCTTTCCAACAGGTGAAGGGGGGAGAGGAACCTAATAGCACAGGAGCAAGAGTCCAGCAGCATCTTAATGATTAACTTGTAGCAGGGCATGAGCTTTCATGAGTCACTGCTCAGTTCTTCAGATACAGCTAGAATGTGAGTCCATCTGCCCTTATATCTTGGAAGTGATTTCAGACACCAAATGACAATGACAGGCATTGGTAATGAGAGAAGAAACCTAGGTCTCAGTTCAGTCCAGGAGTTTGCATTGTCTTGAGCTTTGGGATCAGTTACAATTCAGCAGTCTCTCTTTCTAATCTCCCTTTGAAATTCCTTTGTAAGAGAACTGCTACTCTTAGGTCAGCAACTGAATGCCCTCTGGAAGGTTAAAATGTTCACCCACTGGTTTTTTTTTAATGCTGTGGTTTCTAATAGCAGTAGAAAGAATCCAGTAACACCTTTCAAGATTAACAAAATTGTGGTAGGGTATGTGCTTTTGTAAGTCACTGCTCACTTCTCCAGACCTATTTCCATTTATTCTTTGCATCCTCCTGGACTGAATCCTTCTGTACCAAACTGAGACCTAGGTTTCCTGTCTCATCACCAATGGTGGTATGCCCACACCTCTGCATATCACACCTAATCCAGTAACACCTGCTCTTGCCATTCAGCATCTAAAATCATCTTTATAAATTTTATATCTCAGGTACCTTATGTTACATTTCATGGCACGCATGGCCTGGCCCAAGAAAGTGACACTTATGTCAGATCCAGCCCTTGTAACAAATGAGTTCGATACCCCTGTGTTAGAGCTCAGTTCCCATCCCATCCAGCACGGGAGGGCAATAAACTTTGTTACCCATTCTGTAAATGTCTGTCACAGTGGTTTAATGTTGAGATTAAAAAAATCAACCACAAAAAAGTCAGGTCGAAAGGTCAACAGAAGGCATGCAACACCTGAGATGCAATGAAAGCCCTACATGCTCCCCTCATGAAGATTAGGTGTCCTAGGTGCAGAAACACATCTTGGATTTAAGAGCTGTATATGGCTACAGCATGCCCACCTTGTCTTTAAAAGCGTTTCACTCATCCTAAGAGAAAATACTTTGTAGGAGCTTTATTTCCCAAACATTTTCCAATGGAAAAATTGTAAAAGGGACTTCAGGGAAAAGGTTTCTGGGCCTTCACATCTCTAGAAATATTGGTACCAACTAGCACAATGAGTTGTTAGGTATGGTAGGATATGATCATTACATGAGGCCTCTCGCCTATACATGTTAGCAATGGTACTTAATAAGTTGTACAGTTAACTTTCAGTACTCAACAGAGTCTCAAAATATTTGTGTATTTCTGGGGAATAAGGCTGTGTATACACATGGTGTTAATGAATACTGAAGCCCACTCTGAACATAACGAACTAGAAGTTAAACAAGGCACCATAAGACTCTATGCACTCTTCTCATGTGGGACGGAGTTATGACTATTCAAATCTCCACTCACTTGTGAAGCTCAGTCTCAGCCTAGCCTATTTTGCAAGGTTGTTAGAGATAACAGACAAGAGAACCCCTCATACAAACACCAGCTCTCTGCAGCAACAGAGGGATAAAAATGTAACCCAGCCATCCTGCTTAAAGTAAACCATAATATACTCTTAAATTTGCATTCAGGCAACTGACAAACAATAGTATCCATTTTACATAATTCAGTAGCAATGTTACTACCTTAAATATGATCTATGAATTTTTTTTTAACCTTGTGGGCTCAAACATACCACTTCTAAATAAATTTACATACAACTGTAATACTACCCACAGTGGCAAACCTTGTTTTGATTTTTCATAGAACCATAGAGCTGTACAGTGTGACTAGATTTTTATATTTGTAAATTTTATATTAGCTCTTAATAGCTTTTTCCCCCTGTTACGATCATGGCTTCGCCACTGCTGAAGGTATATGCTTCTTGGGCTATAGTATAGACTCAATGTATAAAAATTTAATTAACATTGCCAAATTACCGTAGATGCCATAAACCAAACAAGAGAAGGTGGTCAAGGAAATCTAGAAAGATTTAAGTGTTGTTGTTCATTGTTAAAATCTCATAAAAAGCTACTGCTTGTAGCAATGAATCACACAGTTCCTCATCTCGCCTTGGCTTGTTTGCAGACAACAGGTTTTGGTAACTCACCACTGTCTCTCTTGGAAAATTCACACGAGGCTCAGCAAGTGTAACAGATTCTAAGAGAAGCTGTTTTACAAGATCTATTCCACTAGTCCGTGATTCTCCCACCATCAACCCAAAGTGTTTCCCTAAAAAAATTCGAGCCATACTTAGTACTTTATGCTGGCCCTCTTCTGCAAATGCTTTATGTAACAATGCATACAGCATAGCTTCTACTGTACGAAGATGCAACATCACTGGAAACAGATTTGCATTCAAAACAGAAAGTCCATTTTTTTCCAAAACATAAAAATCTGCTTCAGGAAGTCTGGATACTACAGAAGAAATCTGAAAAATATAATGCATCAAAAATCATGTTTATATATACATATATATATATGTATTGAAGTCAGATTTAGTTTTGCCATTTACATGGTCCAGGGAGAAAATCTGAGTTTACTGGTTCAGACATCTACAAGGAATATCTGTGTCTACCAACCTTTTTCATGGTATCCCAAAGGTTACTAGCTCCTAAAAAGCATGCATATTAGGAAAACTCTGATAGGAGATCTTTCTCCCTCACTTGGCAATGCCTTTAAATCAAGCCATAGGTTTGGACTCTCAGTGCCAGTAAGTGATTAGACCTCCAGTATGCAAAAGCTGAACACTATCTTTAAAAGCCAAACTGTAGGTGGACGTTGTTTTTACAGAACCCTAAAAAGAAACCCCTAATTTCCCACTTTATTTTCCTCCAACCCCTGTATCAATTTTAAAGAAAGGACAATCAGATAAAATTAATGCATCTATTCCTCCTGTTTTATATGCAGTCCAGAGACCCTGCTAGTTACCCGTAGATGACAAATGAATACTCTTTTCAAACATAAGCTGCTTTCCATTAAAATGTAGCTTACCTCTTCCAGATAAACCGACGGCATGTAGGTTCCTTTCATAAACATTGTGCAGTCGTGCTGTTGCCAGTCATGAATAGTTAAATGTCTGTTAACATGAGCCCATGCAATTCTGCGTGTGCCAAAAACAACAGACACAATGCTGTTGGCACTCTGAAAGAGATTATGGGAAAGGCTCAGTATGCATTCAAAAAGGACTCCATCCTACTTGCTACCAGTCATGAAACTTCCCAGAATTAGAGGCACAAAACTCAAGAAGACATACCTAAAATACAGAATTTGGATTAGTCTAGGAAGTTTATAAACACTAAACTAATTGTGACCTAGATGTATAGTTATACATGCGACAAGACACAGGCTTATATATCTTCCCAACACTTTGCATTTAACCTTTAAAGAGAGACAGAGTCTATGTACTGAGAGACTATGCAAGAAGGGCCCCACTGGTTTGATTGGTCTACTATGACAAACATTGCAAGACCTACTTACACAGGCATTTGCTCCTGCACTCTAGACAGAATCAGGCTGCCAGAATGATGTTTCTCATAAAAGTATCCACTGGACTGGACACAAACAGCTTCATTACTAATTCTGCTGAGGGAGGGGTTTTTTTCAAACAGCAGTCACTCTATGCATGGCATGCTGCTTTTGAAAAGGCAGGGAGTTTCAAAAGCAGTTTTTGATACAGCATTGGAGGTTTAATAATTACATCAAAAATTGTATTGTGCATGCCTGTTCTCTTTGAATCCTAGCCATCGAATGTAACCTTGCTGGACAGATCAACCTAACTAATAATGCATTAAAAGCTCTGCAACCCAATCCCATTTTCTCTGAAGTAAGTCCTAGTGAGTTCAATAGGACTTTCTCCCATACATGCAAAGGACTGCAGCCTTAATATTTGTTATATGAAAAAGGCACTGTTCTTAAAGAATACCTTCAATTTCTCACTTTCTATTTCTGGCTTGATAAATTTCGTTATGGATACAGTTTTCCTCTCCTTCCTTTCTTCTTTTGCAAGGGGGTTAAGAATAAAGTCACACACTTTAACAGCGGTTTTATATTGAAAAAGAGGTACTCCCAGTAAACTCTGTAAATCCTGAAATGGCCCATGCTTATTTCTGTACTCTATTACATTAATGGACTTTCTTCCTCGCAAGAGTTTCATAGCAGAAAGTTCTTCAACAGTTGCCAAATTGAGTTGCTGTAGAACAGCAGACTTCTGCTCAGAGGAATACAAATCATCTATTGATGGTTTAGGTTCCCTAAAGTTCTCAGGAACAGATGAAGAATCAGCTGAGTCGTGCTGTGCAACAGATGTTGACTTCTGACACCACAGAAGATACAATGGTTGCAGCCGAGATGAACCTAAAGGCAGCTGGAGAAAACCTTTTCTACCTAGGGGGGAAAAATCAGATGCCAATCACATGCAGTTGCCAGTACTTGTTGCCAGTAACAAACAGTTAAGACATCCACTGAATCCCACATATCAGTTCACGCAGAAAATTATCAAAGATCAAGCAACACAGTTTTACTGTCAGAAGAATTCCTTTAAACTAATCTCTGAATCTTTCATAGTGTCTGTTAATCTTTAAATTCTCCATATTCTTTCTAACAGTAAATTAGCCAATAAACCCTCTTCCATCACAGTCCTCTGGAGATGGAAGAAGCTACATCTACCAAACTTCTCCCTTCTGCTCAAGTTAATAACAGCACAGGTAGGAACATGATTCAGACTGGGATCTGAGAAAACTTTCTGTACTGTCTGCCATTTTATTTGCCTGAAGTAATAATAACTATCCTGTCCACACTACCTTGTCAAACAATAATCATCAGCAGGTAACTTATCAGCATTGAGAACTCATGACAGGCAATGACACTAGCCTGTGTTTTGAAATCAACTCTAATCCTGACAACTGTACATGAACCACTTTCAGTACTCAAGAAAACTATGTATAAATGTGAAATATTGTAGCTTTATTTGGGAGATCAGATGTATTGTCTCAGTACATGCTTTGGGCCTGCTCCACCCATAAGCCCGCATTGCAACAGCAGGAGTTAAAAAAGAATCTTTTACTGATCCAATTACCTTTCCAGAACAACTTGTCTGCCAGGGAACTGCTGCATTTTTTAAAAAATTTTTTGCTATGGAAGCCATAAGTATTGCAGAGGATGCTGAGATATATTCAAGGGCATTTCCTCAGGTCATGAAGAGCATTGGCCAGGCCTGTTGGTTCAGACAGTTACAAGGAGGCCTGAGTAAATGCACCTAATACTTCCCTTCAACTGAAAGTGCAGAGGAAAATCAGTGATGGTAGTCAATGCTTTTAAGGGAAACATCCACCAACACTGACTGATCTTATCACTGAAGAGCTACTTTTGGAACACCCCTCTCCCCCCGGGTTTCCCAGAAGTATGAAAATCTCTGCCCAACTGTCCTAGATAAACTGAGATATGAACAAGCAACAGGGTGCTGTAGCTAGTACCCAGTTCATCTAGGGCAGGATTTTTTTGTACTTCTGGGAATCACACCCAGCCGCTCTCAGTGCTGCACTGAGCGCCTCATGCCTATCACCTAGACACGGGACTGAAATAACACGGACGATGTGCACCCAACACGTGGAACCCGTATGCTAACTTTCATAAGAAGTGACGCTTTCCAGCCACCATGTAATGCAGAAGAGAGCACGTGTCCTCATTTGTTGTTTGGGTTACTACCAGACACGTTCTTAGTAGCACGAGTTCACAAGTAATACCAGATGTTCCAAGGTCAGCTACCTGGGTAACGCCTTCTTTAAAAGACATGATCAAACAGATTTCTAGGTTATGGCTTCTACTGAACATTCGTCGATCTTTAACACGAGCCCTTTCTTTCCTCCGTCTTTTAACGAGGGGGCACCAACTTTGTACCATTGTACTACCATAAATGCACGTCTTTCTGACAGTGGCAAAAGGGAGGAAGGGGGGAAAAGTTCCCTCGCACCTAAGGTACAAACACAATACCACCCTACCTCTTTGTATGAGACCGACAAGCCCTTTGACGCTCATCTTCGCCCTTTTCTATGCCGCGCAACACTTTTTGCTGTCCCCCTTGTCTTATTTATGCATCCTCGAACACAAGATTCCGGCATTCGGAACTAGGAAGAATAGTTCCGGGTTGTAAGAACGAGAGCTCCCTCCAGTGGTCTTTAGGGGGAAAAAACAGTTGCTGTTTTCAGTTTGATCGGTAGGAACCCTTTCTGTATTAAAGTGTTTTACTTCTGTCTGAAGAAGGGAGCTTTGACTCTCTCGAAAGCTGATACTCTGAAAATCTTGTTGGTCTCGAAGGTGCTAGTGGACTCGATTCTAGGTCTTTTCCTTCTAGTGCTTACAAAGAGAGAGGCGAGATCAGAGTAACTCAGACCCGTTTTATTTGCTATCTCCATTTTGAAGCCATTTATTTTCATTGTGCAAGAAAATATAAAAAATAAAAATGCTTGTCCGCATCATAACTGAAATAGCATGTGTGTTCTAGCATAAGACTAGACACATTGTTTAATATTTATTTGATTTGAGAGATCTCCATTGTACACTGCTAGAAGGAATACATTCAGATTCAACAGTGCTGGTTTTGGTTGGGGTAGGAGTCTTGAACGGGGTTGACCTTTGCTGCAGTTTGAGGTAATGTATGTGCATGCATAGTGCTATCTTTCCAACATGTACTGTAAGAATTTCACATGATTTAGACACCGCACATCCTTAGTTAAAGAACATAAGAACATGAGAGAAGCCAATGTTGGATCAGGCCAATGCCTCATCTAGTACAACACTGTCACACAGTGGCCAAAAATACCAGGTGCCATCAGGAGGTCCATCAGTGGGGCCAGGACACTAGAAGCCATCCCACTGTTGCCCCCCCAGCACCAAGAATACAGAGCATCACCTGCCCCAGCCTGTGAATTCCTATCTATACCTTGTGGCTAATAGCCACTGATGGACCTCTGCTCCATATGTTTATCCGGTTCCTTCTTGAAGCTGTCCATGCTTGTAGCCGCCACTACTTCCTGTGGCAGTGAATTCCATGTGTTAATCACTCTTTGGGTGAAGAAGTACTCACTCTGTTTCCTATTAATCAGCCAGTTTTTGATCCATAGAAGGGCTTGTCCTTTTATCCCATGACTATTGAGCTTACTAAGGAGCCTTTGATGAGGAACTTTATCAAAAGCTTTCTGGAAGTCAAGGTAAACAACATCTATTGGGTCTCCCTTGTCCACATGTTTGTTCACTCCCTCAAAGAACACTAACAGGTTAGTGAGACAAGATCTTCCCTTACAGAACCCATGCTGAGTCTGCCTCAATAGTTTTTGTTCATCTATGTGCCTGTTAATTCTTTCTTTAATAATAGTTTACACCAACTTACCCGGTAACGAAGTCAGACTGACTGGCCTGTAATTTCCCAGATCTCCCCTGGAACCCTTTTTAAAGATGGGAGTGACATTAGCTACCTTCCAGTCCTCAGGAATGGAGGCAGATTTTAATGAAAGATTACATATTTTTGTCAGGAGATCCACAAGTTCACATCTGAGTTCTTTCAGAACTCTCGGATGTATGCCATCCAGGCCTGGTGATTTATCAGTTTTTAAGTTGTCTATCAGTTGTAGGACCTCCTCTCTCATCACCTCAATCTGACTCAGGTCTTTCAACACCCCTGCCAAAATCAGTGGTTCTGGAGTGGGCAAGCACTTCTCATCTTCCACAGTGAAGACAGAGGCAAAAAATGTATTTAGCTTCTCAGCCATTTCCCTATCATCCTTCAGTACTCCTTTTACCCCTTGGTCATCCAAGGACCCCGCTGCCTCCCTGGCTGGTTTCCTGCTTCTAATGTATTTGAAGAAAGTTTTATTGTCAGTATTTATGTTTTTTGCAATATAAGATTGCAAAAAATCCGGCCCCATCACTCCTTGGCAAATAGAAGGGGAAGTCGTGGAAGTAGTGACAGACTTCACGTTCCTGGGATCCCAGATCACCACAGACTGTGACAGCAGCCATGAAATTAAAAGACGCCTGCTCCTTGGGAGGAAAGCGATGGCGAACCTAAACAGCATGATAAAAAGTAGAGACATCACCCTGCCAACAAAAGTCCGCATGGTCAAAGCAATGGTATTCCCAGTAGTCATGTATGGCTGCGAGAGTTGGACTATAAGGAAGGCCGAGCGCAGAAGAATAGATTCTTTTGAACTATGGTGCTGGAGAAGACTCTTGAGAGTCCCTTGGACTGCAAAAAGATCAAATCAGTCAATCCTAAAAGAAATCAACCCTGACTGTTCCCTGGAAGGCCAGATAATGAAAATGAAGCTCAAATACTTTGGCCACCAAATGAGAAGGGAGCACTCCCTGGAGAAGACCCTGATGCTGGGAAAGATTGAAGGCCAAAGAAGACGGGGACGGCAAAGGATGAGATGGTTAGACAGTGTCATCGATGCAACGAACATGAAATTGAGCCAACTTCGGAGGACGGCGGAAGACAGGAGAGCCTGGCGGGAGCTGGTCCATGGGGTCACGAAGAGTCGGACTCGACTATGCGACTGAACAACAACAAAGTCCAAAGTACAAAGGGGGGACTGCCTAGCACACAAGGGGGACGGAAAGTTGGAAAACCAAGATGAGGGACAGGCAGAGCAAGGCCAGCTGGTGATGCCAAGCCTGAGGGGATGGGCAATCAGAGGTGCAGAAGTCAAGGATCCTAGTGCAAAGGGAGAGGAGGAAATTGTGAGTGCAAGTGCCCTGATCAGAGGAAAAATGGTGGGGAAAGGGCCAGCAGGCTGCCATGCAACCATATGTGGGGGGAGATCTCAATTTCTATTTTGAACAAGGGGAGGGAGACTGGTGTGGGTAGAGCCAGAGGTGGTGTGGGTAGAGCCAGCGCATAGGCAGGCACATTTGTTTTGCTCTGGTGCAGGCAAGAGAGTCAGCTGGAGACTCGCTCTGAGGAGACCACCTTAGGCAGAAAAGATATGTCAGGGACCAGTATCACACCGTCTGGCAGGAATACAAGAAACGGTGGGTCATGGCGTAGAGCCACGAGTTCGCCCACCCTCCTGGCCGAGGTGATGGCGACGAGAAAGGCAGTTTTCCATGCTGCATGCTTTAGCTCGCAAGTCGCCATAGACTCAAAGGGTCACCCCATGAGATGGCGGAGCACCAGCGGTAGATCCCACAAGGGTACCGGTGAGCGGATTGGTGGATACAGGTGGAGGAGACCCTTCATAAATCTCTTAGAGACTGAGTGAGAGAAAACGGAAAAACCATCGAAGCCCTGATGGTAGGCCGAAATTGCTGACAAATACACTTTGAGTGAGAAGTGCAAGAGTCCCTTCTCTGCCAGTGAGAGCAGAAAGTTTAGGACCTGGTCAATCCTGACAGAAGCCAGGGGAACGTCAGAGGGCTGTATGGAGGCTAAGAAGCGGGCCCACTTCCCACTGGAGGAACGTCGCGTAGAATCTTTCCTGGCATTGAGTAGCACAGTGTTGATTCTGTCAGAGAAAGTTAAGTGTCCATGAGATAAGCTGTTAACTTGAGCTTGTGTACCTCGTGGAATAGGAGGGCTCCTCCCTCTGCCAGGAGCAGATCTGGCACCTGTGGGAGGGGAAGGCGTGCCTTGGCTAGTGAGAGGAGATTGGCGAACCAAGGTTGCCTCGGCCACCAGGGGACAATCAGGATGCACCTCGTACAGACCCTCATGAGTCTTTGGATCGTTCTCAGCAACAGAGGCAGAGGCGGCAACTTTGGGTCCCCATTGGGGGGGAAAGGTAGGGTATAAATGAAACAAATAAATAGTTCAAGGGAAATCTCCCCACCCCAACATGCAATGTGGAGGTATTAAAAATGAACGACAGTCACTCAGACTTGGCTCACATCTCTCTCCCCCCAGTGCAATATTTATTTATTGTCTTTACTGTTTTTGCAGCCAGAGTCATAAACTTCAAACCCTCATCCCACAAGCCTCTTTCCACAGGAAATCAAAGAAGAATTTAAAGGCTGCTACTGCAAAAGTTGTCATGTGATTTGACAACAGCTGCTAGAAATTTTACTACACGCAAGTAGTTTGTTTGTTTTCATCTCTAAGTAACCAGGATGATTTTGCTTCTGGAGAAAGGAAATCCTGCTTAAAGGGGGAGATCAGTTCATCTCTTAGAGCTGAAAATTTGGGACACTCAAGCAGAATATGATCCACAGAGTCAATATTACTGCTGCCTCAAAATTTTCCTGACATCACAGCTGAAAGTAGGGCATTGAGGTGTGCCAGTGTGAATGCCTTCTATACTTTGGAAGAATTATCTCAGAGAAGTAGTTTGGCATTGTTGTTGGAGACTGAATGCCAACTGAAAAGGTTGTAAATCCAAACAAGGGAAAAAGACTAGTGTTACAGGAATCCCAAATATACAAATTCCACTAGTAGAAAACACCATCAAAATTGCCAAAACAATATATTTAAACAATTATAAAGTTGGTGGTGTCACAACAACAACGTTTATGCATACTGTAACTATATTAAGGCATAAGATACAATATTTCCTCATTTGAAGATAAAGACATAAAGTCCATGTATTCAGTGTAACTTGAGTCCACATAGTCATAACATATTTCAAACAGCCTTTGCAAAGACGCCCATTCTAGATATTTGGAAGATGCGTTTCCTTTGACTTCTTCAGTTTGCCGGCTGTGTGAATGGAACCTAATTTCAGCAATCTCCCTGTTGAGCTTTAAATTGGCATGCATCTTCGTCTGTATCCTTGAGAACCTATGATTCACTCCTCATACTATGAGCCTTGTGGTCTGCTGAAATGCTGAAATCAGGTTCCACTCACACAGCCCGCAAACTGAAGTCAAAGGAAACGCATCTTCCAAATATCTAGAATGCTCGGTGACCCTGCTCTCGCAGAGCCTGAAAACAACTTTGTTCCAATCTGCTTATAAGCTAAAGTTACCACTGCCAGAAGCCTCTGGTTGTGAAGCGTGCACATGCATGTATCTTTTAAGAAATATGTTTATTTGTTCATTAAAGAAACACAGCTGGCTTACTCTCATGGCAGTCTTAAGGCATCAGAGGGTCAGAAAAACAAACCCCGCCTCCCCTGTTCCAAATACGGAAACATTTCTAAAACAAAATAAAAGAAACTGAAAGTCATCTGGATCTCGGTCTCCCGGAGACCATGGCTACTGCAGCAGATCCTTTTAAAAATCTGCAAGATGAACTGAGCTGTTGCCTTTGTCTGGAATATTTTAAGCACCCTGTATCAGTCAAAAAATGCTCTCACAGCTTCTGCAAAGAATGCATCACACAGCACTGCAAGCAGAAAGGGGCCAAGGCCTCCTGTCCCACATGCAGGCAGGAGTTGTGTCAGAATAACCTGGTGGAAAACAGATCACTGGCCAACATAACAGAAATTGTCCAGCAGATTAAGGAGAGCCTAAGAGCAGAAGGAAGGGAGCCTGAAAATGGCCAGGAGCTGTTGGAACTCTTCTGCAGAGATGATCAAGAAGCCAGGGGATCCCAGAATCTCAAACTGTCAGCTGGATGTCTTCTGAGTCAGCTCAAGGTATGTTTCTTCTCCATCAGAACCATGCTTGCAAATGAGAATTTGTCACTGGATGGCTGCAACATCAAGTGATGGCTTGCAAGCTGAACAGAGGAATGGCAGGGGAGTCTGGAGTACAGAGGTTCAATTTTGAGGAGAAAAACAGCCAGAACAAAAAGTGCTCAGCACCCTCTTCTCTGGCCATTGCTCTGTTTAGCTTAAAGTTGCCCATGGCTGATTCTCACTTGAGGATTCTTATATTTATTTAGAAATCTTTTGTGCCACCTCTCCGGGGAACCTGTCCAAGGCTACTTACAAACTAAGCTTCCTCCCACATCAGCACCATTGGCCTTGCCTTGATCCCTGCAGTGGCCACCCCACCCACTGTATACCGGAGGGCTTTTTACAAAAATACATAATAGTTATATCATTATAATGGTCTATTGTGACAGTGTTCTAGTTCCCAGGTTTCACTTTAAGTCTCCAGCTCTTTTGGTTGTGGAGTTATAAGAAGAAAGGTACAAAGGTATAGGCTGCACATTTCTCATGGCAACTCCTCAACAAAAACGGTAAGACAGGTGTTTGTTTTGACAAGGCAAGGGAAGTGTGGCAAAAACTTCTGCATGCTCTGTTGCCACTGTGGATCAGGCCTGTAGCCAGGATTTTTTACACTGGGAGGCCTTATAAAAAGTCAGGGAGGGGGGACTGAAATAATTTTTTTAAAAAACCCTCATGTATGCTGGCTGGCCCCTGCCCCAGCTGGTCTTCCTATGTGGTGGCTGGAGGGAAGGGTGTGCCAGAATCCAACAGGACAAAGTAGTGCTTGCCCTTCCTCCCCCCCCATTACAGCCACACCCCCTGGCTGAAGCAAGGAGCTATGTCACACTCCCCCCCCCCATCACCAGAGCTAGAAGCTTTAAAAAGAAGTTTTTGCTTTTCCCAAGTGTGCAGTGGGAACAAGAAGAGAGGACTCAATGGTGCAGGGCTTCTTGCCCTCCAAGTTTCTGTGAGAGTCCAGTAGCACCTTAAAGACTAACAAAATTTGTGGTAGGGTAGGAGCTTTCCTCTCCCCCCCATCTGCAGCCTGACCCCAGAACCTCCCTCAGCCTGTGAAAAAATGTATGATCAAATGGATGCAGAATTTTAGAGAATTGATACCTATGGATCAATGGGAATGCTTATGGGGAAAAGAAATCAAGTTTACAGCCAGCCAAGCATTAAGAGAAAACTGGTGCAAAATATTTTTAGATGGTATATAACCCCAAATTACACTGAGAAAGCAGACAAAACCTACAAAGAAAAATGCTGGAAATACCAAGACACAGATGGAACTTTTTTCATATGTGGTAGACTTGTAAAAAAGGCAAAAAAAAAAAAATTGGAAGGAAATACATGGAAAAATGTATTAAAATTTTAATTCCCTATGGAAACTAAGAATATGTTATTAGGTATACTGCCTAATAAATTACCAAAAATTCTGGAAGAAATATTCAAATACATGGTGACAGTGGTTAGAATTATCTACACAGCAAAAATGGAAACTAGAGGTTTGCCCCCGCCTAGAAGAATGGGAAAATAAACTCACCAAATATGCAGTAATGGCAAAATTAACACTTTATCTGATAAATATATCAATCACGAAATTTGAGGAGAGATGGAGTATTATGCAAGCAGGAGACAAATCTAGAATGAGTAGTTCAAAATGTGTACACAAATGTATTGAAATGTAGAAGCAGAACAAGAATAAGTTTTAAAGGTAACATATTGAATATAAATGTATAAAGAAATTAATCCTGAGCAGATATATCCTCTACCCAGTTATGAGATATATTACAGATTTTCTTTCTGTACTCTGATATATTACTTATTGTTAAAAGTTACACTGAGTTGGTGGAGGTGGCAAAAATATATAATACTGAATCTGTAGTAAAGATGAAATCAATAATGTAAATGTAAAACAGATCAGTTATGGAATTTGAAATCCAAAATGTTGAATATAAATGTACCCCAGCCAGAAGTATTACTATATTTTATAGATAGCGTTTAAACAATTATAATGAAGGGGGTGTTGGGGAGAAACGTAGAAACATTTTTTCTTTTATACACCCTGTGTTACATAATTATTTTTATATACATCATCACGATAGGCAACCCATTTTTCATTTCTGTATCCCCTTCACATCTTTCCTTTGTTTTCTAAAAAGTAAAAATACATCTTAAAAAAGAAATAGGTAACCAACGAAACAACCCCTTCTCCGTGAACGGGGGAAAAGCGTCCCAGGCAACCAAGCCGAGCTCCAGCACCTTTTATTTTTCCCATGTAGTTATCGAGGCAAGAGGCGGAAGCGTTTCACGTTTAAACTCTGCATCGTTTCCAACCTCGCCGCGGCACCGCACGCAAGAAGGCCAGCGGCTGCAGCGCTGCTGCTCTCGATGCAGTCGTCCCTCCCCGGGCTGCAGGGCCGGTGGCCCTTCGCTGCCCCCGAGGAAGAGTCCGCCTCGGCGAGCACAAGCCGAGGCCGGCCCAGGGGGCGGGCGCGTCGAGCCCGGGGATGCCGCCCTCCTCCTCCTCCCGGGAGCTTCCCTCCGCTCCGGCAGACGGCCAGGGCCATGGCTTCCTCGGCCGAAGGAGGCCAGCAAGTGGCCGTGTGGCTGAAAGCCGACGACCTGCGATGCTCCATCTGCCTGGAGCTGCTGACTAGCCCGGCCACGCTGCTGTGCGGCCACAGCTTCTGCCTGGGCTGCCTGCGACAGTGGGCGGAGGCCAAGGCGCGGGAGGGCCGAGAGCGCAGCTGCCCCTACTGCCATCGCGCCTTCCTCAAGAGGCTGCCCGAGCGCAACGTCTTGCTGGAGCTGCTGCTGGAGCAATACCGCCGCGCGGCCTCCGACGGGGCACTTCCTCGGGCGAGGCCGCCTCCCCCGGCGCGCTCCTCCCAGCAGCCCGCCGCAAGTGAGCGAGCGACGCAGGTGCGGGTAGGGGCAAGCGGCGGGTGTCAGGCTCGTGAGCCATGACTGGTTGGTTGAGGCTCTAAAGTATGTCTGTTTGGAATGATACGTTATTGTGCGAGGAAAACGGTATAATATTATTATGATTCTCTCCTAAAATGTATTTTCACTGAAAATGTAAATATGAACATCTGGATAGTCCAGAGTAGTCAGATCTTGGAAGCTAAACAGGGACGGCCCTGGTTAGCACTTGGGTGGGAGACCACCAAGGAAGTCCAGGGTCGCTATGCAGAGGTAGGCAAAGGCAAACCACCTCTGGACGGTTCTTGCCTTGAAAACCGGCTTTTCCTGATGGGGTCTCCATAAGTCAGCTGTGAGGTAACTGCAAAAATATATATATAATAAAAATTGTTGCATGTATGAAGGTGAGGGCTCAAAAGAAAAATCAGAATTTAGTTAACATCTACTTCTTATGTGTGTTATCCTGGCTGAAGCGGAGGGAAATTTAGCTTCCCCCCCCCCTATTTAGAGGTCCTAAACTATCTAGCTGATCCCTAAATGTGGCTCTGATACTTGTGTGTCTGGACTGGTTACCAATTTGATGAATGGCATTAAAACAACAGTCCAAGGACAATTGCACTCACAGAGGAAGCCACTGTATATTGTAATGCTCTAAGTGACCGTTTGTGCAAGTGCAGAGAGCCCTTGCTCACTTTCTAGATAATATTTCTGAATTACCTGGTCTACTATGCAACTTTTAAAGATTTACTCATTTCCATTATGACCTAATAATTAGGAAATTAGTCTGATTTGAGTGTGAATAGCAGTTGAAACATTTCTCCTGTATCTTTTTCCCTTTGGGGAGAAAAGAAATTTGGGGGAGGCAATTGGAAAAAACACTGTGGCATCATAAACTGATGGTTTCAGGTAGGTAGCCATGTTAGTCTGTAGTAGGAGAACAGAATTCATATCTGGTAACATGTTAAAGACCAACAAAAGTTTCCGGAAGATAAACTTTCATGAGTCAAAGCTCACTTCCAACAGATATCTGTTGTCTGACAAAGTAAGCCTTTACTTAAAAAGGTAAAGGTTCCCTTGCTCGAAAGCCAGTCGAATCCGACTCTAGGGTTGCGGTGCTCATCTCCGTTTCAAAGCCGAAGAGCCAGCGCTGTCCGAAGACGTTTCCGTGGTCATGTGGCCGGCATGACTAAAAACCAAGGCGCACGGAACGCTGTTACCTTCCCACCAAAGTGGTACCTATTTATCTACTTGCAATTTCTTGCTTTCGAACTGCTAGGTTGGCAGGAGCTGGAACTAGAGACAGGAGCTCACTCCGTCATGCGGCACCCTGGGTCTCAAACTGCTGAACTACTGACCTTCCACAGCCTGCAGTTCAGCGTCTTAACCACTTGAGCCACCGCAGCTCCATAAGCCTTTACTTACAAAAGCTTATACCCTGGAAAATTTTGCTGGTCTTTAAAGTGCTACTGGACTCAAATTTTATGATAAGCAGAGGCACACTTTTCTAAGTTCATTGACGTCAGTAGGATTTAGATGGATGTCTCGAGCAAGGGAAACGTTTACCTTTTGAACTCCATTTTAGGAGCAAATGCCCTTTCCCCCTTCTTTTAACTTGAAGCCACCCTACTGCTGCGTCCCATGGGAGCAAAAATGAGGGAGGCGAACCATGAAAGAACAACAACGTTTGTTCCGTGGGCTAAACTCTGAGCTTCCCAGCTTTTCATGGGCTCTCATCATGATACAGCCACAACATTTCAGCTGCTGATCCCCACCCCTCCCCAGTGTATAACTTGGAGGGCCCAGGCTAGCCTCACCTCATCAGAACTTGGAAGCTACGCAGGGTTGGCCCTAGTTCGTATTTGGATAGCAGACCACAAGGAATACCAGGGTCTCTCTGCAGAGGAAGGCAATGGCCAACCACTTCTGAACAACTCTTGCCTAGAAAACTCTCCATGGTCGCCATAAGTTGGCAGTGACTTGAGAGCACTTTCCCCCACCATCAGGGCAATTGCTTATTACCCAGAGAATACATGATTGTCATTTGATAATTTATTTTATTTATTTATTTAATTTCCCGATCTGTACCCCACCCTCCCCGCCTACGCAGGCTCAGGGCGGCTTACAAAAAGCGAATACATAATTAACCACAAAACATCATAAAACAAACAAATTACCATAAGACATAACAGTTCGTTAAAACAATATAGTATTAAAGTGCTAGCAATGTTGTTATTTGGTGTCATAAAGATGACATAGCCACATGGGTGCAATCCATAATGTATCTGAGTGTTCCGCTCGCTGGTCTTCTCAATATATCGGTGAGCACAGGCTGTTGGGCGCAAACCAGGACCAAGCTCTATGGATTTCAGTTGTTATTGATGATGGTGGCGGGTCCTGGTTAAAAGCCTGGTGGAAGAGCTCCGTCTTGCAGACCCTGCAGAACTGTGGAAGGTCCCAAAGGGCCCTGATCTCTTCTGGGAGCTCATTCCACCAGCATGTAGCCACCACTGAAAAAGCCCTGGCCCTGGTTGCAACCAGCCTGGCGTCCCTGGGGCCTGGGAGGGCCAGTTGATTTTGTGACCCTGACCATAGTGCTCTCTGGGGTGTATATGGGGAAAGGCAGTCTCTCAGGTATGTAGAACCCTGGCCATAAAGGGCTTTAAAGGTAAGAACCAGCACCTTGAAGCGTATTCGGTATGCTATCGGCAGCCATTGCAATGCCTTCAGGACAGGCTCAATGGGCTCCATCTTAGGGAGGCCCATCAGTAGTCTAGCTGCAGCATTCTGCACTAGCTGCAGCTTCCGGATTTGCGACAAGGACAGCCCCATGTAGAGAGCATTACAGTAGTTTAATCTCGAGGTGACCATTGCATGGATCACCGTTGCTAAGTTGTTGTATTCGAGGAAGGGAACCAACTGCCTGATCAGCCGAAGATGGTCAAAGGCTGACCTGGCAGTGGCTGCTACCTGGGCCTCCATTGTTAAGGAGGCATCCAAGAGTACTCCCAAGCTCCTAATCTCTCGTGCTGGCACCAATGGTGCTCCATCGAAGGTCGGGAGTGGGATCCCTACCCCCGGACCACCCCAACTCAAGCACAGGACCCCCATCTCCTTCGGATTCAACTTCAATTGGCTCAGTCTAAGCCAACCAGCCACGGCTTGTAACGCCCAGTCTAGATCTTCCTGACTAGAGCCAGACTGACCACCCAACATCAGATAGAGCTGGGTGTCATCCGCATACTGGTGACATCCCAGCCCATGACTCCGGACAATCTGGGCAAGGGGGCGCATGTAGATGTTAAATAGCATCGGGGAAAGCATCGCCCCTTGAGGCGCTCCACACTCTAGTGGGTACCTCTGCGAGAGCTGTTCCCCTAGTGCTACCCTTTGTCCCTGACCATGGAGAAAGGAGGCAAGCCATTGCAAGGCAAGCCCCTGAACTCCTATGTTGGCGAGGCAGTGGGTCAGTAACTGATGGTCGACTGTGTCGAATGCCACCGACAGGTCCAACAACAACAGTACCAACCAAACCACCCTGATCCAGATGCCTCCGGAAATCATCCGTGAGGGCGACCAGTGCTGTCTCCGTCCCATGGCCCGTGCGAAAACTGGAGGGATCTAAAATGGAAGTGTACAGGATTAGCCCACCCAAGCCAGTCCAGGGATGAGAGGGAATCCTGTACTTTTCAGTACATTAAACAACAAACCACGAGATGGTCTATATCCTCTCTGGTTTTCAGAACAAAATGCCACCAGAATCTCTCTTCAATAGTCCCTGCCTTTCCTAAGGGAGAGATTCAAACCCTTAGTTGGCATCTGGGACAGAACACATTAGCAACTCAATCCAGAGATGCACAATTTTACTCTAACCAAGGTAGCATATGTGGTCAGGGTTAGGCACCAGGCTTAGACTTGGAATTCAGTTACAACGTCAAAAACAATTTAGCAATAAGAAGGATCTTTATTCAGTACAGATCTTAGCATAGACTACCAGAGATTACAAAAATAACAAAGGCTAGGGTTGTTTGCTTTAACTAAACATTAATGATTCATAGTTACCAAGTCAGAACATCCACAGTCCAGGATAGTCCAAGGGATTTTGAAGGGAAATCCCATCGTTGCACAACCTTGTGCTCCAGTTCACAAAGCAACTCTTTGTCTCTCAAGAGGCAGCATTTCAGGTGCAATAAAACAGACAATGACCAGAGGAGGAAGGGAGAACACGAGCAAGAGAGCTCACTCCCATAGGGATCAAACAATTATACCCCAATTCCAGTCACAAATTAGATGTGGCCATCAGCCAATTGCGAGTGGGCATGGGTGTGCCCAATTGTTGGTTGCCATGGTTGCTAACATCAGATTTGTGGGATTGGCTAGAAGTTTGGAGACCCTGCCTGCAGTCAGATGACCCAAACTCCAGCTAATTCATTGTGTACATGACTGGTCTCAAGTGGGCCAGAAAGTGTAGCCATGAGGTCTGGCTTTTGGCATGAAAGTGTGAAAGAATGTGGGTTTATGGCATGGCTATTGAGGCCATGTGGCCTCACCATTTGGCTTGCAACAGGAAACAAGACACAGCATGTTATCAAAAGACATCACAGGAAAAGGCATGTGAATATAGAAGCAATATTTCTATACAGAAGCGTCATCCAAAAAGCTCTGTAGCTAAATTGCCATGGCCCTCTGTTAATTTGCCCAAATAGGGCAAATTGAAAACCGTCTGACAGCTAGTCAATTCGGCTGGCTCCAGAGATGGTTTCTTCAAGAGAGGACACACTACCGTTTCCTTGAGCACTCCAGGAAACAGTCCCTCTGTGAGGGACTTGTTGATAATATCCCTTAGGGTGCCATGTAACCCATCACGGCAGGCTTTAATTAGCCATGATGGGCACGGGTCAGGGCAGCATGTGGTAGTAGTTCTGGTGGGACTAGCTATGTTGCATCAGTGATTATTGGGAGTGGGAGAAAGCCAGTTGTCTTTATTTTCCTGGCACTCCAATCATGAAGTGTTGCTGCTGGGAAGAAAGTAACACATTGCCTTTTCCCTTACTAGGGCCCCTGCCACACGGCAGGGGAAAAGCCCTTTAAAGCGCGGCTTTTAAAAGCCGCGCCAACGTTGATACGGCTCGGCGGGATCCCCCGGATCCCCCGGCCGAGCCGCCTTTTCTCCCCGGCGCGATCAAACGCCGGAGAGAAAAGACGGCTCTAACCGGGAGCCGGCCGATCTGCGCATGTCGGAGCATGCGCAGTTCGGCTCCGGGCTGGGGTTGAGCCGGCGCAAGGAAGCGCCGGCTATCACACGCCCGGCTTGAAGCGCCCCAGCGAGTTGAACCACCCAAGGTAGGTGGTTCAGTTTGGGGCGGGTCAGGGCGGATTTGGGCCAGTTCGGGCACCGAAGCAGGACGCTTCCCAGATGTTCTGGTGTGATCGCGCTGCTTTGATCCGCCCCCGAACTGGCCCGCAACTGGCCCAAATCCCCTCGTGTGAACGGGGCCTAGGATTCCTTCTTTCAGGAGCTGGAGGCAACTTCAGTGACACATTTCCTGAACGGAAGGGTGTCTGCCAGGCTGAAAGCAATGTCTAAATCTCTCTTGTACTAGCTTTGCCCTAGATGGCACTGCCCCTAAGGGAAGCCACATGAGAACTGGTACTAACCATGTCAAAAGCAGCTGAGCCAGAGAGGCACTTTCTGGAATTGCCACTCCTTTTGAAAGACATCGCAAAGATCTGCTGCAGTGACCGCTCTTTTCTCTATTGCTTCAGCCTGGGGAGAAGAGTTGGACCTGTCCCTCATCAAGTGGCAGGAGGGCAAAGAGGCCAGGAGGGTCTGGCCCCTTAGCTTTTAGGCTGGAGGTAGTCTGACATTTCTTCACTCCCATCTAGAAACGTTGGCCATTGTTGGTTTAAGCATTATAGAATATTTTTAATGTTTAAACACTTATCACTTATTGCCTGATCCTGTAGTATTTTTAATATGTGGCAGTCGCATGAATGACCTGTGCACGTCTCTTTGGAAGTAATCTCCAGTGAAATTGAAAGGGATTCCAAATAAATGTGTAAAGACTGATGAGTAAAGATTTATACATTTTTACCTTTTCAGGATGAGGTGAGAATAAGCGAAATCCCTGCACAAGTCACTGTGGTGTGCGATGCAATCGCCAACATGGGGAAGGACAGGACTGAAATGAAGGTTGGTACTTAAAACTGGTATGACTAATTTGGTTTCTACTGATTTCTGCAGTGTAGACCGTAGCTGCTTTATGGTGGGGTTGTTTAGTCATAGTCCTCTCTCTTTCCCCCCTCTCACATACCCACCTCCCTGCTATTGTGGTAGGTCATAGGGAGATTCAGGGCTTTTTTTGTAGAAAAAGCCCAGCAGGAACTCATTAGCATAATAGGCCACACCCAACAGCAGAAACTCATTAGCATATTAGGCTGCACCCCTGACAGCACAGCTCATTACCATATTAGGCCACATCCCCATGCCTTCTCTTGGCTTGCCTGGGCAAGCTGGCCTTTGGACAGGCCAGGGAAGGCACAAGGAGGAATTTAAATGCCTCCCCAATCCTTCCAGTGTCCCCCCTGGCCCGCCCACCTCAGAGTGGCCGGGGAGGGTTGCTCTCCAGCCCTTCCATCTGTAGCCACGCACAGAGAGGTTTTGGCTGCAGTGGGCGTGGCCAACTCTCAAGCCAGCCGGAACTCAGTTGCTGTTCATTCCTGCCCAAAAATAGCCCTGGGGAGATTTCATTTTCCATCATTCAAGCTGCTGTTTGGTCTCTCTGGGAAAATTTGCCCTAAAACTTACATGTTTTATCTTCCTTCCACCCATACATCAAGACAGCCAGTTATATTCTTCATAGAACCAAGTATTTATTTATTTCGTTTTCTATCCCGCCTTGCCTGCACAAGGCAGGCTCAAGGCGGCATACAACAGTTTAAAATACAATAAAACACAATAAAACAATATTATAAAATTTCAAATTACAAATAAATTACATAAAGTGTAGTTGAGTACAGATGGCGAATTTCTGTGAGGTGGTCCGATGAAGCTAGGACGGTGTCCGAAGTTGTTTTGAATGCCAGCAGCATGGGGGCCATAATAGTCCAGTTGTTAATAGCTCATTCATCAGTGGCGGCTCCTAATTGAAGGCCTGGTGGAAGAGCTCTGGTTTACAGGCCCTGCGGAACTGTAACAGGTCTTCCAGGAGCTCATTCCATCAGTGTGGAGCCGCCACTGAGAAGGCCCTCGCTCTGGTGATGGCCAAGCTTATTTATTTATTTATATTTATACCCCGGCCACCCTGTGAACAAGCTCTGGGTGGCTTACAGGAAACAGCCGACAGACCAATACAAATAAAACAATAAAAATATTAAAATCCCTTTAAAAAGCTGGCGTCTTTTGGGCCAGGGAGAGTCAGGCGATTTTGCAACCGTGACCTCAGTGCTCTCTGGGGGATATTTGGGGAAAGGCCGTCCGTCAGGTAGACAGGCCCCCAAACATTTAAAGGTCCCCAAAGGCTTTAAAGGTCAAAACCAGCACCTTGAAGCGAATCTGGTATGCTGTTGACAGCCAGTGCAATGCCTTCAACACAGGCTGTATGTGCTCTCGTATGGCGAGGCCCATCAACAGCCTGGCTGCTGCATTTTGCACCAGCTGCAGCTTCCGGATTTGGGACAAGGGCAGCCCCATGTAGAGAGTATTGCAGTAGTGAAGTTTGTACTTGGGCTTTGTAATGTTAGTCTGCAAATAGAAGGCAAAGGCCCTAACTACACATCACAAAGTCCTCAGGTCAGAAATGTGCTTTGAGTTTGCTGCTGGCAGCTCAGTTCCCAGGTGTGTTGGATCAGGATTGCAGCAAGGACCTTACTTTAAAAATGATGTGGACAGAATGGAGCACATGCAGAGAAGAGCGACAAGGATGGTCGGGGCCTGGAGACCAAGCCCTATGAGGAAAGGCTGAGGGACTTGGGAATGTTTAGTCTGGAGAAGAGGAGGTTGAGGGGGGGACCTGATTGCTCTCTTGAACTATTTGAAGGGCTGTCACTTTGAGGAGGGCAGGGAGCTGTTCCTGTTGGCAGCTGAGGATAGGACTTGCAATAATGGGTTTAAATTAAGGGCGGGAAGGTACCCGCTGGATATTAGGAAAAACTTTTTAGAGTAAGAGTTGTGCAACAGTGGAATCAGCTGCCTAGGGAGGTGGTGAGCTCCCCCTCACTGGCAGTCTTTAGCAGCAGCTGGACAAACACTTGTCAGGGATGCTCTAGGCTGATCCTGCGTTGAGCAGGGGGTTGGCCTAGATGGGCCTGTATGGCCCCTTCCGGCTCTATGATTCTATGAGGTCTTATCCCCACTGCCACCATTTTCCCTACCTGAAATAGCCCTAAGAAGTCAGTATGTGTTCTGCAGGGGGCTGATAGGTTTTGTGTAACTTTCCCCAACAGAGCAAATAGCAGCCACCCGGGGCAGTTTCAGGTCAGGAAAATGGTGTGGGAGGGAGGCTTAGCCCCTGCCTTCGTGGAAGCGGAGTTCCTGTTCCAAGTCCGACCTTGGCACACCTGCCGCACATGTGTGATTGGAAGTCCTTATGGTTGACCCAGACTGGACCAGAGGAATCTGTAAAGTATTGACATGGAGGGGTGTGAAGAGTTCAGGCTAGTTAGGGCTTGCTAAGTGAGGTGAGGTGAGGCAACGGCCTTGGGCAACAGATTTGGGGATGAGGGTGGTAGCTTCCACCACCAACTAAACCTTGTTCAATTCACATGCTTGATAGGGCATCCTGAACTCTCAGCTTGCCCTGGTGCATTTAAAGACACCTGGGGAATGATGAAGCATTAGCTGCTCTGGGCCTGGGCACAGGTGGGGCGAGGGTAAGAAACAGTTTTAGGTTGTGGGGCTGTTTGTAAGCACAGGCCTTGGGAGGGAGGCTTTGCTTTGCTTACTATCATCCAAGGCCGGTGCTTATAGCCTCCTAACCTAAAACAACTTCTTACCATGAACAGCAGTCTACCGAACAGAGACACAAACCCTGCAGCAAACCTGGATGCCAATTTTATTATAGCAGTGTTATTATAGGACCCAATAACATTAGCAGTACCATCTGGATTCATCCATTTGTGCATTCTCCAGTGTGATATATGCTATTATATATCAACTATTCAGAAGAATAAATGTATGCAGATCTGACATTAAGAATCACGATATTCAGAAACCAGTGGGAGAAAAGTTCAGTCTCCCAGGACACTCATGCTGGGCTGAAATTTACCAGTCTTTAGCAAAAGCACTTCAGCGGAGACTCCAGTGGGAAGCAGCTGGACTGGAATCCCTTAAGAGGTTTCATATGGTCTCCTTTCTCCTATGGATTAAACAGGGATTTGGAATTTAAATCTCACTGTAGGCCTACCTATGTGTTATGTGTCCTTGTGTCTTCAGGTATGCACGATTAGATCTGAATCGTGAGTTCCATGCTGGGAGTTTAATTCACAAGTGCATGGGGACCTGTACACCTGGGAATTAAGTTCCCAGCATGGAAATCATGATGAACATCTGATCATCTGGATCTGGGGAGGCCACAGGAAAACATAGTTGGAACCTGTAAGTGTTAACTGTCTTAGCAAAACCTGCAGCTTCATACCCTATGCAACATAGTGATTACATGTGAAGAGGTAGACTCTAGTCCATAAAAGTGCATGCTGGAATAAAATGTTAACCTTTTAAGAAGCCACTAGATTTCTGCTTTTGCTCCGTGAGAAAGAGGCAGCAGATTTTTTTTTATTTCCAATTTATACCCCGCCTTGCCGGTGAAAACTGGCTCAAGGTGGCTTACATAAGTTAAAATACAATAAAATCAATAAATACCATAAAATTCATAATAAAACAATTGCATAAAGTGCTGGTACAACCAGTGCAAACAGATGGCTGTGGTTTCCTATGCATGATCCAGTAAGAAAAGATGAAGGGAAGGAGCTGACTGTGAGATAGCTGAAGTTGTTTTCTAGGGATTTTTAGTTTTGAAGTTACAGAAACCCCCTTAGGGTGCTGAGTGTTCCCATCAGTGATGGAACACAAATGAGGAAAAGTTGTGCAGAAATTGTTAAACCACCAGGGGGAGGAGACAAATTTGAAAGTTTCGAGTGTTTATTCAGACTTACCAACCTCAATCACCTTCACTTTCCCATAGGATTATGTATCTCAGATCAAAACCACAATTACAGAAGACTTCACTGTCATGAAGAAGTACATTAATGAGCAGGAGCAAATGGTGCTGGAAGTTCTTGACCAAGAATGTAGAGTGGCTGAACAAAAAACGGATGCAGTGGTTCGGATGCTGACAGCAAGAAACGACAAGCTTTTAGAGTTGCAAGATAACTCTGAAGAACTGCTGAAGGTAAAAACAAAACCCTTTGGCTCTACCAGTTGTGGTTTGCTGCAGCAGAAATGACCCTTGGAAAAACAACTTCCTTGCCTTCTTCCTCCCACTGCACTCAGAAATGAAGATCCTGGGGGACAAAGGATCCCCAAGAACAGCATGAAAGAGGTTTGCAGCGAGTAGGTGGGGGGGAAGCAGTGCAAAGCCCCCCCCCCCTGCAGAAATTCTCTGCAGGATCCAAGCAGTTAGTTTGTTACAGTGTGCAAATCAGATGAAACAACAACCTACTTTGTTCTCTTGCCTTCAACCCACAATTAAACTATTGATTATATTTATTTATTTACAGTATTTTTCCATGCTGCTTTGCTCCCTAGTGGGCCCCCAAAGCAGCTTAGAAAAATACCAGTTCAAACCATTTATCAATTTAAACCATTTTAATGAAACAAAGTAATATGTAAACAAAGACATAAAGACATGAGGGAGGAATGAGGAGCCCTTTAGTTGGAGGACTTTCGAGGTTCGTCTTGGCAGGAAAAAAACAACCCGGTTGAAAGCTGCTTTAGTGAACAGTACGATCTTATGCCTTCTTAGCTGGAATTCAGACCAACTGATCCACTGAACTGTGGTTGGCTTCTGAGTAAACTTGCACGGAATCTGGCCATTAGTCAAAAATCCTAGGCATGCTTAGTACTGCATAAACAAACTTGGGGCAGTTCTCCTATATCATATTCAGTTGAATGACTCTTTAAAAGCTGCCACCCAGAGTTTATAGCATTTTCCAGACTGCAGCCACCTTCTGGGTTTTCATTTATGTTGTGGTTCCAATTATTGTGCTATTGAAGCAATCAATACACACGTTTTATTCGTTTTTCCCCCTCGTTGTCAGTATTCCACCTGTTCACATTCACATTGTGGACTGGTTTCCCTTTCCCCCCCTTTTTTTTCTTTTGCACATGTGCTGAAGCATTGCAACTCTTCAGCAGCCTCCAGGGGCTGAGAAATCCCCTTATGAGTACATTTCCCACCCACCACAACTGAGAGTCATCCCTGGTGTATGCATCACACCCCTTTTTGGTTACCTCTTTTCCTGCATTTGAACATTCTCTCTCACTGGCTCACCCCCAAAATTTTGAGTTCCTTTTCCTGACTTGCATCAGTATGTATTTCACAACAGCTTGTTTCCTTCAAATGTGTGTTTTCAAGGTAGCCCAGCGCACTGCAGAATGTATTTGAAAATGGTGCCCAGAAACATGCTAGAATCTGCTCTTGTGTATGAATGAAGGAATGGGAAGGAAGGCAGTGATTGGCTGCTGGTGTCAGGCCTCCCAATGGGACTGGACTTTTGTTTCAGTGCAGACGCCTTCCAATTCTGAAACACTAGCATGCAAATTTAAAAAAAACATTGCTGCCCAGGTTTGGGTGGCAACCCATGAGACAGAAAAAAACTTCACATTTCAAACAAGAGGCTATCTAGCAAATTCATTCCGCAAGAGGTGGGGGGAGAAGTACAGGAAAAACTCATTTAGGAAAGAATGGGGGGGAACAAGGAAAAACCAGGATGGCTCAGGGATGTTAATGAAGTTGTCTGGACACAAGGAGGGAAAAAAAGGTAAAATAGGGAAATGAAAATGGAAAATTGGGGCAATCTGAAAACTGCCTATGCGGAGGAGGTCAGTGTTGTGTGCAAATGGCTTATTCCTTTAGTTCTGTTGTACTACCACTGAGCACAAGCCTGTAAAGCACTGCTTAAATCATTTTTCTTTCCAGCCCTTCACCTGTGTGCTGCTATGTATACACATATACCGTTCATGGATTTGAGAATCACTGTTTGGGGGCCCAGTTTAGCAGATATTTAACATTCTGAGAGCCTAATTAGACATTACAAATTACACAAGTTCACCATAGGGACTTGCAGCTATATTGTAGCTGCTGCTTCCTGATGACAATACAGGACTAAATACACAGCAAGATCTGATGAGTTCAGGCTATCCAGGTCAAGTTAATTTATACTAGACTTCTTTAATTTGATCATGTTAATGCTATTACTGTTCTCTGGAAGGGTTTGGACAGCCCATGGCAAACTTATGTAAAGAGAGGGTTTCCCCCTATTTATGAAATTTCAGTGTTGCACCCTGAATCTGAATCTTTCTAAATACACCATCGTCTGAAATCTTTGTTGGAACTGTTGCTAGTTGTTTGTTATTTCTTTGATTTTTTTTTAGCATGTCTCACCAGAACAAGAAGCTTGCGTGGGTTCTTCTGCTGCAGTTGATGAAGTTACACTGGATGTTCAGAAGATCAATAATATTGCATGTGCCGTAAAAAAGCTCAAAAGATCATTGAAAATGCCATTGTTGGGGAAGTATTCCAAGCAGATGCTACAAGGTGGGTGAGAGATGAATGTGACCTTTTTGTCAAAGACAGCCATATATTGACAAAGCTGAACACTATACAGTACTAAAGATATAAAGCAGCTTTTGGATTGGGGAGAAGTATTAAGAATATAAAAACTGCCTGGGTGGATCAGAACCAGTCACACATTCTGCCCAACTACAGTGATCTGTCAGATATTTTGAGAAGGAAAAAAAGAAAAGAAAGCTGAACATGAGATGGAGAATTCTCCTATTTTTGCCCCTCATGCTTACAACACAATTACAGGTATTGAGTTTTGATTTATTGAATTTTGCTTCATTTTGCGAATCTTTACAATGATAACATTATGTGTTAGCATGCACATGCACAATTTGAGTTGGTTTACCCAGGGGGCTTCAAGACCATTCAGTTCTGTAATCTGATGCATATTCAGGAGTTTGTTCACTAGAACTTGGAGGGAATTGATTATGAGTAAACATGGATAGGATTGGAATTACAAGCCAGGAAATCCATCATTCAAATCTTACCAGTCATTAACTTATTAGGTAGCTGTAGCAATCTACTGTTCCTGAAGCATTAACTTTCTGTCTGCCAACATGGTGTAGAGGGTGGTGTGTTGGACTTGGAGAGACCTGATTCAAACTCCTATTCCACTTTGGATAGCCTTGATCCACCCCCTGTCTCCAGTGTTAATGTTCCACACAGGGCTGTTGTATGAACATAAAATGAGACTACCACATCTACATGCCTTGAGCTTCTTAGTCAGTATGGAAAATTGATATCACTAGTAACTGTCATGGGACCAATCACAGCCAATCAGAGAATTCCATATTTGAAGGGTTTCAGGATGTGTTGTTTGCCGTGCCTGTAAACAGAGAATTGGGTCTGAGTGATCCAAATGGTAGATATGGCTCCTTAGAAGAGGTTGCTAAGAATCAAGGTTTGAGTTCCTGTCTCCCAACTTTATTTTAAATGGCAAACAAACTCTGGATGATGTGTGTCCCTTTGTGTTGTAGTAGCTTTATTAAAGATGCCAGCTTAAATCTATAGAGAAACCAATTCAAGCTTTAGTTGATTAACAGATCAATATTAATTGGCGGGGCTGTGAATTAAGGGAGATCCATTTATTTCTTCAGGGTAATTTTTGTCCTGGTATGTTCATGCAATGAAAAAAACACACCTTAAAAATGCCCTTCTTGTTAAAGTATGAGTGAAGCCTTTTATTATGAACAAGCATTAAACTGTTTATCCCATTGTCTAATAATTCTTGCATTCGTAAGAGTAATCAATACATTTTAATTGGTTGGCATCCTTCATATTTACATGTACTGGGAGATGATAGCATTTCCCCCCATATTTGGCCATTTTAAGAACTTGTGAGTCATTGTGGACGTGGATGATAGTGGTGAATGATACTTAGCGTTTATATAGCATCATGAGTCCAAAGTACTCTACATAAATTATCTCATTGATCCTTGCAATAATGATCACCAGCTGGAAGCCCCAGAACCATAATGTCCCCTGTGAAGTATCAGCTTCTTGCTCCCTCTGTTGCCAATCCAGAGGCAAGAGAAACGTGTGTCAAAATAGACGGTGTGGCAGTGGGGCTTCCTGGCACTCCACTATGGAGTCAGTTTATGAGGCTCTGGCCCATCTCCTTCCACTTCCATCTTAACACCAGTTGCTGATCAGGGCCTCACAACAGTCCTCTGAAGTAAGTTGGTGTTACTGTCTCCAGACTGAGAAAGACTGACTTGCCTAAAGCCACATTAAATTTTTGACAGAGGTAGGGTTTGAATAGGAGACTCTTTGAGGGCTGGTTTGGTCTTGCTGCCTAACTACAGATTGACAGCACAGGAACAAACCTTGTGCATACATACTTTCCCTTTCTCCCCTCCCTCTGTGAGCTCTTTCAATCAGTTATTTCTTGTTTAGCATGAACCACAGTGTTTGTTTAGCACAAGCTGCAGAATCCAACTAACAAAATGGTTTGCGTTTTGCCTCCAAACCGTGGTTTATCAATTCAGATGTAACAGTGTGAAACTAATGGAATTAGAACGTGTGAGGGGAGGAGAGAGTACATTCGCATAATGTTCATTCCTGTAGCACCGGATCACGGTTAGTCATCATGTGCGAATCAACTCTCAGAATCTTCCCTGTTCAAATCCTGTCTCTACCATGAAATCACAAAGTTGTTGTTGTTGTTCAGTCGCACAGTCGAGCCCGACTCTTCGCGACCCCATGGACGAGATCACGCCAGGCCCTCCTGTCTTCCGCTGTCCTCTGAAGTTTGCTCAATTTCATGTTCGTTGCATCTCTGACACTGTCTAACCATCTCATCCTTTGCCGTCCCCGTCTTCTTTGACCTTCAATCTTTCCCAGCATCAGGGTCTTCTCCAGTGAGTGCTCCCTTCTCATTTGGTGACCAAAGTATTTGAGCTTCAGTTTCATTATCTGGCCTTCCAGGGAACAGTCAGGGTTGATTTCTTTTAGGATTGACTGATTTGATCTTCTTGCAGTCCAAGGGACTCTCAAGAGTGTTCTCCAGCACCATAGTTCAAAATAATCTATTCTTCGGCGCTTGGCCTTCCTTATAGTCCAACTCTCGCAGCCATACATGACTACTGGGAATACCATTGCTTTGACCATGCAGACTTTTGTTGGCAGGGTGATGTCTCTACTTTTTATCAAGCTGTTTAGGTTCGCCATCGCTTTCCTCCCAAGTAGCAGGCGTCTTTTAATTTCATGGCTGCAGTCACAGTCTGCGGTGATCTGGGATCACAAAGTAGCTTTAGGCAAATCACCACCTCTCTTTTAGCGCCAAAGCCGTGCTTTATTGTCTGTCTTTGTGCTGCAGTAGTTTTAATTATGATGATCCCAGATCAGTGAAATAGTAATAACATGCCATGATCTGTTAAAGGGCTGACAACTCCAGGTTGGGAGATTCCTGGAGATTTCAGGTAGAGCCTGAGGAGAGCAGGGTTTGGGGAGAGGAGGGACTCAGTGGGGTATAATGTCAGAGAGTCCACACTCCAAAGTTGCCATTTTCTGCAGGGAAATTGATTGCTCTAGTCTGGAGATCAGTTGTAATACTGGGAGATCTCCAGGCCCCACTTGGAAGTTTGTCAACCCTACCTGTTCAGATAGGCTTCTGGTCTCAATAATGAACTGAGTTTCTCTTTGCCACAGACCCTCCTCCAGGAGCCAGCAGCACCAGTGAAATCCTGATGGAGGTGGAAGAACACGTGGTTGTCTCCTCCAGCAATTCTTGTAGGTAGCTTATTATAGAGAGCTTTATCTCTTCTTTGGCTAGTGTGTTGCTCTTGCCTGCATGGCCCTTGAGCAGTAATTGTAATGCAGTCTTTAAATTCAAGCTTCTACATAAGTCTGGAATCTAATGTACCAACCAGTGGAAGAAATGTTTCTTAGCAAACTCCCCAGTTCTCCCTTAGGCACAGTGCTGGAGAGACTAAGGCTGTGATCACACACACTAAATAACCCACTTTCAATCCACTTTCAATGCACTTTCCAATTAGATTTTGCCAGTTCACACAGTAAAATCCAGTTGGAAAATGCACTGAAAGTGGATTGTTTAGTGTGTGTTGATTGCAGCCTAAGAGATTTAAACTCTCTTATCTCACAGGTAAAAACATGATGAGGAAGCCTAACCTAAACCACTGGGCCACAGTGCAGATGTGTGATGGGGGTTAAAAAAACCACACACAGCTACAGTGGCAGCATTGCAAAATATCTAGGTGGACCTTGCATTTATGACAGTTGTAATTTTTTGTTGATCATGCCCCAAAACCACACTCAGAAAAGTATTTTGATTTTTACATCCTGTCCCAGTCCAAGGCTATGCGTAAGACACAGAGAATCTGCATAGGCAGAACAAACATTTATCTCTGAAGGGCTCATAATCGAACACATGTGTAGGGTGGTAACAGGTCTTTGAAGGTACAACAGCCTTCAAGAAAGAAGGTTGCCAACTGGCCTGAAGAACAATATTCTGTACCTTTAATAGAGACTTAATGTATCTATTAGAAAGGGGCAGGTGAAGCTTTTCATTACGTGGAAGTAAATAACCTAGTAAATAACATCCCATTCAACCTCTCTTAAAGGGATAGGGTATTTTTTTCCAGGCCTGTTGACAAATCTGTCTGGAAATGCAGGCTACGAAGAAAAGTATTGTCTTGATCTAGGGACATAAAAGGCTTCCACTGGCATATCCCCAAGGGGATGATGAACTGGGCAAGCAAACAGGTGTTGTGCATGTTTTCCTGTTTATCAGTAAATAACCTAGTAAATAACATCCCATTCAACCTTTCTTGGGTATTTTTTTCCAGGCCTGTTGACAATTCTGTCTGGAAATGCAGGCTGCAAAGAAAAGTATTGTCTTGATCTAGGCACATAAAAGGCTTCCACTGGCATATCCCCAAGGGGTGTTGTGCATGTTTTCCTGTTTATCAGTCCATTTTCCAGAACTGTATGTGGGAATCTTCCCCAAACGTTTAAAATTCCTTTGGTGAACTGTTCAGGAGGGGGAGTAAGAAGATGGATTTGTTACCCCCACCCTGCAAACAACTGACTGGAGTGATTTTAACTCCTCTGAATAAGTTTATGTCTGTAGGTGTTTGGTAGATCAGGGCATATGCTTACTAGACAGTGGCAAGTTTAAAATTCCTCTGTAGGTGCTTGGTAAATCAGGGCATATGCTTACTAGACAGTGGCACTGGCTTGCAATCCTGGAGAGATTCAGGTCTGCTTTTTGCAATACACTCTGCTGAGTACAAAACATACATATTTTACGTAAACAGCATATTTAAATTGCCACTTTTCTCATTAAAAATACAGAGACCTGGGCTGTTGATGCTTCCCCAATGGCCACCTCTCTGTGAACCCCTTAAGATATTATCCAGACCCATGCAAGGCACAGCTACAGTGTGGCTGGGATACCATCGTAATGATTTATCCACCCAAGGAAATGTTTAATACACAATGTTGGGATGTAAATTTTGGGTTACGACCTGTGAAAAGGGGACAATTCATGTGTAAATTTAAATGTCCCCTCAATTGTGCAGAGCAGACCCACCCACAGAAAAGCAGCAGCCTTGCAGCTAGGACAGTGTTGACAGGAACCCTGAATTTTGCCAGGAGAAGCCGTTCTTTAAACTCACATCCTCTGTCAAGTGCCATGAGAGTCCCCAGGGAGTGAACATTGCATTTGTTCTGTGGCAACCTGTTTCATTCCTGTTCTGTCTCTTAATTTAAGGATCTCTTACTTTCCTTTCAATGGAATAAAACGTATAATGAGGTGATTATTTTGTTGATTAGCCCAGCCTCAAGCTACACATCAGGACACTAGTAGCTGTCCTTCATCAATGGAATGGGACAGAGACAGTTCAATGCCAATGGTTTCAAGTCAGTTTTCTCCATGTAAGTATATAAATCAATGTGTACATAATACAGTAATGTTAAAAACTATGGACATTCGGAACACAGACTTCAGACAAGACTTTAACAGGGGTGTTTTGTTGGTTCAGTGATATTTCAATGTTGCACCCACCCTGCCATCAATTCAGTCCAGCTGATCCAATTGTGCCAGTTGAAAAGTCACACTTTATGTTTGAATTTGCTTTCTTTAAATCCTACAAATAGAAAATATACCACAGATTCATCTTCGGTTTTTAAGATGGTGCTTAGCTTTCAGAGGCCTCATGGATTGATGCATTATATCTCATAGAGTTTTAGGTATTTGCGTATGTAAGCATCCTTAAAACTGGGTGAGGTGTGATTTGGTACTAAATGATTTTCTAGCCACAGAGAGACCTTAATATCTCTCATAGCTGCAGATAGAACAACACATTGGGTTGGAGCCACTTTATGCTGAAGGAGGCTGGTTGCCCTGCAGGAAGGTTCTGCCCTTATTCGAGTGAAGTAGTGGCTCCCAACTCATCAAGTGCAACATAGAACTACCGCTAGAAGTGGCATCCCTGTGTTGAGCTCTCTACTTTTATCAGTAACTCCTTGTCTACACAATTAGCTGTTAGGAACAGTAAAACACACAATATGGTAAGAACATAAGAACATAACATAAGAACATAAGAGATGCCAATGTTGGATCAGGCCAAAGGCTCATCCAGTCCAACACTCTGTATCACACAGTGGCCAGAAATACCAGTGCCATCAGAAGGTCCACCAGTGGGGCCAGGACATTAGAAGCCCTAATGTCATTTTATGGACTGAGCGATCCAACAGCTAATGGGAAAGAGGCCATTCAACATGGGGATGTGGGGTTTTTTGCAAGCAGCTCTGTGTTCCATGTTACATGCCATTCTTGGGTCCAGTACAGTTGGTTTTGGGATGAATGGTGCATTCATACCACTCAAAACCAACCATTAGTGACAGAAAAGTAATGAAAATGTGGTGTTTCTCTTGCCTTTTAAAGGCATATTGTGGCTGCGAATGATGATAGTCTTGACATTAGGCAGCCCAAAGCAGAGTAACACACCTATTGTGATGTGATGTTGTTTTACTTAGCTAAACTTCCATGTTGTTTAAAGCTGATTGGAATTTGGCATTAACTGAAGTGTAAGAGAAATTATGCCATGACTTCTGGAGAGTGCAGTTTGCCAGACAGAGAAGGCAGGGTTTCACTTACGTGTAACTGTTGGTCATTGAGTGGTTTTCTGTGCAGACACACATAGCCAGTGTAACAGAGTAGACAGTGTGTCAGGTCAGAACACCTACTCAGCCACAATGCATTTCGGTGAATTTGAACCACCCTCTCTCTGTGCCAGTTTACCTGACAGGGTTGACCTGACGTGAGATAATTTGTGCTCGATGAAGAAAGGGTGGGATGCAAATGTCATAGAGAGATAAGTAAAATGTGTATGCTAAGAGTGAAGATTTAATGGCTGATTATTTTTTTCTAAATCTTGTAAATGTCTCTTTTTAAAAACTCTTGGATCAGAACACTTTTGTATGTTTACTTTAGGGGCAACCGATGTGACATTTGATCTCGAGAGAATCAATAACAACCTGGAACTCACAAAAGATAAAAGGAGAGTGACTGTGTCCCCGTATCCATGTAAATATGAACGCTCCCCAAAAAGATTCCGCACCAGCCAGGTGTTGGGGTCTCCGGGTTTCTCTGAAGGGTGCCATTACTGGGAAGTGAGCACCAAAGACAGTACTGGGTGGGCCATTGGCGTGGCTGTTGGAGAAATTGGCTGTCATGATAAACTAGGGAGAACTGAGCTATCCTGGTGCATAGAATGGTCAAATAAAAAACTCTCTGCATGGCACAAGGGACAAGAAATTCAAATTAGTGAAGAGAAACCTCTGCGGGTTGGTACCTTTCTCAACATCCCTGAAAACTGCTTATCATTTTATTCTTGCTCTGATAAGGAAACTTGCTTACATAACTTTGAAATCAAAACAGACAGTCCCATTTACCCAGCCTTTTGGATATATGGTGTGCATGCAGGTGAATTTTTAACTATGTACAGTATTAAGAGGAGCTAGGGTATAGCTAGTATTCCACAGTATATTTGGAGGGCACATGACAGAGCCCCTTTGATGACGCTAAGCAGGTCTGTAGTCTGACTGCTGCCTGGATTAGAGATGTCTTGGGAAGCCCATGTAAGCTGTCATGAGCTCTGTGAAGAAAGGAAGAGGGATATACATGCCATATATACATAATATCTGTGCTAGCAATGTGTATTGCTTTCATACCATTTTAAACTTTTATGGCTTCCCCCAAAGCATCCTGGGAATTGTAGTTTTGTGAGGGTGCTTTTCTATTGTAGATCCACAGTGTATCCTCCCTTCCCTCCTTAAAATGCCCAGGAAGTGACCAAGCATTAAACCAACTCAGCTGTGTAGTGTAAATATATCCAAAGTCTACATTGTCTCTGGATGGAGGATTTAGGCTTCAAAATATATGGCTTGCACAGCCGGAGCTCTGCCGGAGCTCTGCTCCTGTGCGCTCCCACAGGAAATGACCCCTGATCATGTGCATTATAAAATAATACAAACAAGGTAGTGTCTCAGTAGGAGAACATTTGCGTTGCATCTCCAGATAACATCTGGCATCTCCAGATAAAAGTATAAGTACTGTGTGAAGTGAAAAATCTCTGAGACCCTGGAGAGCCACTGCCAGTCTGAGAAGACAATACTGACCTTGGTGAACAAATAAGAAAGCTTCATGTATGATAAAATTTAAAAAATCAAGAAATCTGTAAGACTGTGAAAGTAACACAACTTCCACTAGTCCAGCTTTCAAAGTATTATAATCCTCAGATGCAGGACCATAACATATGTGAAGGTTTCAGAGAAGAGTTATAAGGGTGATAAAATGCAGAATGTGAGTAAAAAATGAATAAATGAAGGGAATTCTGTTTGCTTTTTAAATATAATTTGGGTCTATTTTTTCCAACCCTAAGATATCTCCAAGGAAGTGTATGATCAGAATGCTGGAACATAGTCATACAAAATATTTCCCATAACACTTTCTGTCAATAAAACAATTTTATTTTTAACAGACAAGACTATTTGTGTTTGTACTGGCACTTTTTCCAACAAAAGCGAGTCTCTGTCAGATCTTCAGCAGGGAATTCCACAAGGATTTAAGCATTTTAAAAAGTAGACTGTGCAAGAAGAAAGCCAGTTTATCCTTGACTGAATTATGAGTGATATTATGGAGGTCCAAAACATTCTGCCTGCCTGTTTCTACAAGTCAAAAATATAAGAAAACACTGCAATAAGACACTAGTTATTTAGTGAATTTCCAATATTAATTACAAACATATATTGTGCAATATTTTTATAACAGGTAGGTTTATCATGTGCAGGGGTCATTTCCTAGAAAAAGAGGTGCAGGAGCTTATTAGCATAACTTATTAGCATAACCTATTTGCATATGCCACACACCCTGACATCACCGGAAGTGTGTCAGAAGGCAACACCCACCGCTCAGGCTCGACTGGACTGTTTTGGATTGCTAGCTATTGGGGGGGGGGGTGTAGATCTGCCCTCACAGAGGGAGAGCTTGTACCTGAATAAAACTTGGTCTTAAAGGTGCCACTGGACTGTATTGGATTGCTAGCTATGGGGGGGTGGCGGGAAATGCGCAGATCTGCCCTCCCAGAGGAGGGAGAGCTTGTACCTGAAGGCAGGCCGGGGGGAGGGGGAGCTTTGCGACTTAGCTGGCTGCGTCTTGCTCCTCGTGGCCCAACTGAGGGCTGCTGGGAATAGGGGGTGGGGCTTGTTGCATGTGCCCGCCCCCTGGGATCCTTACTGCCGGAGCTCTGCTCCTGTGCGCTCCCACAGGAAATGACCCCTGATCATTTGCATTATAAAATAATACAAACAAGGTAAATCCAAAAGAGCAAAAATTTGAACATGGATCATCACTCAGTGAAAAAACGTATAAACATCAAGGACAAACTCTTATTCATAGAAGAATCACTGATTTCAAAAGTCAGACAACAGTCCCCCTAGAACAAAACAGTCCGCTAGGACTGTTTCTCATGGTCTGTGTTATTTTCCTTCTCCAATGAGGTCCCGGTAATTTATCTTGTTTCGCATAATCATTTCTTCAAGGAAAATTCATCTGTGACTTTGTAATGGTCATAAGGAGTGTTCAAGGCTGTTATCACAAAATGGACTTCTCGCGTCACCAGAGAACACCATACATTCAAATGGTTGGTGTAGGTCTAGGACCTCGTTGGAGAAGGAAAATAACACAGACCACAAGAAACAGTCCTAGTGGACTCTTTTGTTCTAGAGGGACTTTTGTCTGACTTTAGAGGATAATACTTATGGACAGTGTATACTAAGTGCAAAATATATTGTATTTTGAGGAATTGTTGGATTACGCTTTGGAGTTTTGTAATTGGGGATATTGATTGATTATACTTTGAAGCTTTGCAATTGGAGATGTGTTTAGAATGTTTTTGGTTAATCACTTTGAGCTTATGAATTGAATAGATACATAGATGAATTGAATAGATATAATAGATACATATAGAACAAAACAGAGCAAAAAAGAGCATTTTAAGTTTCATAATAAATATATTTTATTAAAAGGAATATAGAATATAGTTATGTATTCACTTCAGCCACCTATATTAGTGTGATATCTTGGAATATGGCACCTTTATGTTATATAGTCATGACTGTACAGACATACTTTTTCCAAGTGCATCACTTAAAAGAGGTTTTGTACAAGACCACAGTGCTATTTTAACAGTGCAATCCTAAACAGAGTTATATACCCATCTAAACCCAGTGCCATCAATGAATTTAGCAGGGTGTAACTGTTTAGGGCTGCACTGCAAAACAATCTAAGGATAGCTAAATGGTGATACATGGGGAAGACTCAGTCTTCACAGAACCTTAATCTGATTTTTGGTCACTGTTAAAATGCAGTATAAAATTTTGTTTCACTCCAATAAATTGTTGTTGTCTTGCTTTGCTTAATGCTTTCCCCTTTATTTTGTTTGTGCTTTGTAGTTATGACGCCCCTATTGCTGGATAACTTAATCTATTTTAGCTTGGTGCCTGGCCATCTAAAATGGGGCTGAATTGTTCCACTCCCCAAATTAGTGTCTGAAGAATTCCACGATGATTTATGCTTCTGTACTTTGCCCTGCAGGCTTCAAAATAAAGTCATCGTTGAAAACCTGTCATTCTGAATGGCACGGGAATCTGTAAAGTCATAACGTTGAAAACGGGCTGTTATACAGTAACATTCATTCCCACACAAAATATCCCTGAACTTGCAGCAGCAGACACCAGCCCCTACCTTCCTCTCGACCGCACCCCTCAACAGAGCGTGGAAGCCTTACGCCCCATTCATTTGTGCGCACTATGCTTTTTATTGCTCTGCATGAACTGAAGAAGGTGTTTGGGGAAGTGTGCCTTGCACACGAAAGCTCACACCTTAAATAAAACTTTGTTGATCTTAAAGCTGCCGCTGGACTCAAAACTTTGTTCTACTGAAGATCCCAAGAAAAACCGGCAAGTGTCTGGTCTAGTTCTGAGTAGGTAACGCACCAATCATCCCCGTTCTCCAATGCATTAGTTTGTACCCGAGCCTGGCAACTAGCCATACAGCTCCCACCGCAGACTATATAGGCACTTCCAGTGTCCACTCCTAATTCACAGAGACCGACATCAAGAAGACCCACTTTGGGCGCACACCACAGGAACGACACAGGCTAGAGCGGCACCCTCATAACAGCCAATAGCGGCGTTACCACTCGGTAACCGGAAGTGGATGCAGCGCGCCGCTCTAGTCTTGTCGGGCCAGGGAAAGGGAGGGGAAGGTTGCGAGGCGCAGCCGGCTGTTGGAAGCGCGAGCGGGTGCGTCCCCGCAGGCCGAGGCTTTCCCCCTTCTTTGCAGTCCTGATGTGAGCCGGGCCCGGCTTGAGGGGCCCAGGAGAGGAAGAAGGAGCGGAGAGATGAAGAAGGACGTGAGGATTCTCCTGGTGGGAGAACGTGAGTGAGGGGAGGGGGAAGGTCAAGGCGGGGGAGAGGGAAGGTGGGTAAGTTGCTGACTGGGTGGGGAAAGGGAGAGGGCGCGAGGAGGGTGGGGGTGCTGTGGGAACCGGGGCGCTCGTGCTTTCCTTGGGACTGAGGGAGGCGCGGCTGGGGCTGGGCCCTGGGCAGGGTGCCTTGGAAAGAGCCAAGACAAGAAGGGTTGGAGCCAAGTGGGTGTGGAGAGGCGCGTGGGGAGAGTGGAGAAGAGGGAATGGGGGTGGGGGAGTGGCCGGGGAGAAAGGGGTCAGGGGGAGCGATGGAGAAGGCGTGGGTGGAAAAGGAAGGGGGTGAAGGTCTGGGGGGTGGGTATCAGGGTGAGAACCCAAACACCCAAGCTGAAGCAGGTCCCGGTGGATGGCTGGGGACAGCATTCATTCTGTGATAGGATCTGATAACTGATAGGGAGAAAGAGCGTGGACTGTGTATCTTTAAAAAGATGCCTGTCACTTTGAGGACTTCACCATGCTTTCTCTCATACTGTCCCGCCTGCCAGTGAAGATCCTCTTCTCAAGTCCTGCTCTCTGTGCTGTGGTGAGGAGGGTGGCAACCCAGAGGTGGGGGGTTTTCTGTGGTGGTGTGTCTCATCTTTGAAATGCCGTCCCCTCCCCTGGTGTCTTCTTTATTCTTCTTTATGTACCAAGTCAAAACATTTCTTTTGGTCCAGACTGTGGAGCTTTCTCCTTTTTAAATAGTTTTTATAGATTGCTTTTTCTAACTCATCTGAGAACTGATCCATGATCAATGGCTTTGTGGCTTGTTTTAATATTGATCATTTTCTGTATGTTTGTTTTTAATGACTTCATGGTATAGTTTCTCTTATGAGCTGCTTTGAGCAGGCCTCTGTGTGTATATTTTCTGAATAAACAAGTAAATACAGTCGACACAGTGAATAAATATAAGAAGAGGAGGAGAAGGAGATTGGATTTACACCTGCCCCTTCACTGAGAGTCTCAGAGCGGCTTACAAACTCCTTCCCCTTCTCACAACAAACACCGTGTGAGGTAGGTAGGGCTGAGAGAGCTCTTTCCAGAACTGTCCTTGAGAGAACAGCTCTGATAGAACTATGGCTTGCCCAAGGTCATCCAACAGCTGCAAGTGGAGGAGTGGGGAATCAAACCCGGTTCTCTCAGATTAGAGTCTGCACACTTAACCACTACACCAAACAGGTCGGTGAAGCCTGCTGAGAAAGCAAGGGAAGGGAGGAGTGTCTCAAAGCAGCATAGGGTAAGAAAAGCATGGTAGGGGATTCAAGTTTAATTTGTCAGAATAGGCCATTGGAGGGCTAGTTTGCCATCTTTTCTTCAAACTATGTGGATAGGGGACTAACACCCTGCAGTTCTCCCTAAGTACTGAAAAAGGACACATGTTTAGGTTGTTTTTTTTTGTGTGTGTGTGTATGTGTTCCAACCATTGCCTTATTCTTGTGGCCAGATTGAGCCACCCCATCTTTAGTCACAGTAAGGTGGTCAGCTCCTCACATTATGTATTCCAAGTTTCTATTACTCTGCTAAAGATTAGGTGGCTCTCTGTGGAAGATAACTGCTGTAGCTACTATTTCATTACTCACAGTGCAATCCTAAGAAAAGTTACTCCAGTCTCTAAACCCATTGATTTCAATAGCC